CGCTTTCTGGCCCACGTGTGATAACGTCCTTAGTTTAAACAAATGAAAAAATATATTAAAAAGTCTTAAACAAAAGACCCCCAAAACTGTTTGTATGTATGTTTTTTAAAACAACAACAGCAACCTGTTCTATCTTCCATACTTAATATTTTAACATCCATCTGGTTTTAGTATTTGATTGATGCATTTGTTGAAAAAACATTGTATCTTTTCCCAATGGCATCACTAGGGGTATGTGGACCACACCAGGTGGCACCCTAAGGGGGGGCGACACCACTGCTCCCCAAACATCTGTCTTTGGCCATTTGCTTGTGTCCCATTAAAATGCTGAAGAGATGGAGTAAGGCTCAGTGGGTGAAGAAAGGAGAGGCCCCAAGTTTTTTTTTTAAATTAAATCTAAATTTATTTATTTTCTTTAAAGATGTCACATTTTACCAATTTTTCACTTCAACCACATGAAACGATGTATCTGTGAACCCATTTATTCTGTGTGTATGATATTGTAATTCAAAGGTGTACTTTTCATTTTGCTACTTCTTTACATCACAACTATTACCATTACATTCAGTGACATGTGGGGATTATGATTTCCAAGCAACATCAGTACAAAAACATTTCTGAGGATACTGTATGGTGTGGTAATGGAAGGAGGTCAATGGGTGGAGGGTGATGCCATGAGTTACCGCACTAGGTAACACCAATCCTAGTGACACCATTGTCCTTTCCCAAAACATTCAGAGGAAAACAAAGGGAAAATGAAATACTGTAGATTTATATGGAGACAAAAATTCAATCAAGGTGTAGGAAGATAGACGTCATTACTTAAAACTTTGTGTATGTGTGTGTGTATATGGAATGTATGTGTGTAGCTCTTGACCCAAGTTTGTGTGGTCACCCAACAGGGGCTCCACTCATCTTTGGCTACAGCCCACAATGAGCTTTCTGTGGGATGCTTCATAGGGAAGAGATTTTCCACCCTGACACTCTGAGAAGAAACAGAGTGACAAAAACCAGAAAGGCAAAACCGTAAGAACAGAAAGAAGAACCCACAGACCCAGGTTTACTAAGATCTGTAACAACAAAAAGGTTTTCCTTGTAATGAGAAGACTCTGAACCTGGGGAATTACTAAAGTCCAAGT